TAGTTGGGCAGGGGGTTAGGAATGACAGTCCATTTATTGCTTTGTAGAGAAATATCAGATTGTTCCTTAACCTACGGTGCCATAAAGGTTCTAAATACAGGTGCTTACATCTACTTGTGTAATCAAGAGTGGTGTCACTTCCTAGCAGTTGGCATGTAAAGCGTCTTTGAACATCTTCTACTCTTATTTTGTCAGTGGTATTCATATTAGAGAAGATAAAAGAGCAGTATTCTAAGGAAGGTCGTACGCATATTTTGTAGAGGGTAAGCTTGGCATCTGTCGTGAAGACATTTTTCGTTATGAAGCCAATTAGACGTCTGGCTTTAAAAATAATAGAGGAGGCGTGTGCTTTAAAGTTTAGGCTTCCTGTGTAATTTAGTCCTAGATCGTGTACTGAATTAAGTGTCTGGACTTTACTTTTATTTGAGTAAAGTTGGGGTTCATAGGGGTGCTTTCCAAAGTGCATGATCCCGCATTTGTGGAGGTTAAATGGTAATTGCCATTTTTCGCTCCAGATAGTTAGGTTATTGAGATCATCTTGAATCAGGGGTACACTTTCACTTAGAGCCTCAGGTTTATAGCTGTATACTATTTTGAGATCATCAGCATATAAGTATGGTTTCCCAAATTTTATGATGTTACATATATCGTTTATATACATGAGAAACAAAAGTGGGCCCAATACACTTCCCTGGATGACGCCACTAGTTATTGGTCTAGGTAATGAGAGACAGTCGTTGTACTTTACCATTTGTTTACGTCCCTTTAGGAATGAAACAAACCATGAATAGAGTGGGTTGTTGATTCCGAAGGACCGTAGTTTGGCTAGTAGCCGTTTGTGTGGAACCTTATCAAAAGCTTTCTTAAAGTCTAAAAATATGACTGATACAAGGAGTCCATTGTCTCGTTTCAGAGTTATATCATTCTTGTAGTCCACTAGGCATGTATCACATGATCTGGACCTAAGAAATCCATGTTGGGAGACCGAGATGAGATTATTAGTAATTACATGTTGGACCAACGCCGCCTTAACTACTTTCTCCATCATTATATAACGGATATTACTTGTATTTTTATATGAGGTTAACAACTAGAATGGTATTTAGCCTATTGATACGCCGACAGATGGTCCTACTCCATGTCATACACCAGTTGAACAACAAGTAAAATGGGTAATATTAATTCGACGAAGAAATCTTCAAAGTCTAATCTGAAGATTAACAGTGTCAAATAACACTGAATGCGATCGTTAAAAACGATATTAAAACAAGAATAGGTACATAAGATTTGGGCTTTCCATCCCATCATTAATGGCTATAAAGTATAAGACTGCAAATTGATTCTGTAAATTCACATTTCGAAGCAACTGACACTATGAAAATTTCCTCAAATGTATCTCTTATTCACCTTTCGCTACCAGATACTTGTTCAAACAGTATAGTCATTTACACACTACTCATTACAGATATCACGATGCTGAGACCTACATTATAATATATTGGCTCTATGTATTTAACGCAGGAACATGACTTTTACACTGAGCTACACTGTTTAAGTCACACTGGAATCGAGACAAAACGTCTCTTTATCAATGTAGGGCTAAATGTAAGGTTAAGGGTTTTATACTACGAATCAGTAAAAGTAGCAACTTATAAATAAAACTTACGTATCCTTACGTTACTCATATCTATTAATATTATTGGCTTGATTCAATATGATATGCCTACTACAGCATGAAATTCTTAGCGCAAAGGTATTTCAAAAAGTTTATTCAACCGAGAAGTCAAATGACCTATAAATACGGCCTGTTTGGGTGGCTGGTTATCTGTTCGAGCCATCTTAATATTTCAACAAGTAATCCGTTTTGTTTGTTTTCACACATCACTATGCCTGTTGATCACATAACCTATTCAGGTGCATTTATAAAACGTTTACGACAAGGTACAACCACAGACATCCTGGTGTCAGTATGTACTGAAAATAATGAATATTATTCAAGTGTCAACTTCCGAACTGCTAACACCTAACTGACGATCAATCAATATTTATCGTCAGAACCGATCAAGAAATAAGAAAAGAAAACCTGTTGAAATACTTTGTGCTGAGAATTTTATATTGTACCAAAAGCATAGTATAGAATAATGCCATTATTATTATCATAAACAAGTAATTAACTCACCCTGAATCAAACAACATGCTTTTACAAAGATTTAAATCTATACAATTTTGATTTAGAAGCATGATGAAGAGTGTACTGGCGTCTCATTCTGCGAGAAGGCATACAAGGAGGAAGATTTAAATAGACGAGATGATTAGTATCTGACAGGATAGTGCTTGGTAGGAGTTTTTTGAGGTTTTGAATGTCTGTAGCAGTAAAACATTCCCCAAAATAAATAGTTATGTAAGCCTTCGACATTGATGCTGGCCTCGGTAGTTTCGCTATACGCATCTAGCTGATGTCATTCGATCACCCATCTGCACTAGATCACTCGTATGTAAACTGCACTACGCACCCCTTGCGACTGTTAACCGGCTGAGACCATACGCATCCAAACATGTCTATAGCCTTCCAAATATATCATCAAACCCCTTAATTTCTGACTTCTGATGTGACTGGATTGGTGTACTTCGACTAAAAAGGTGTTACACGTAAATGTGTCCGAATACCTGTAGCATCTTAAGTGATGTGCCCGGTGTGGACTGGTACACCCAACAATGTACTGTATTTCCACATTCATATTCACAGTCACTCCCAAAATATTCATCTCACAAGTTGCTAGCTACCTTCATAACTCTTCACAACAACAAAATTTCATCCCTATTGCTCGCGTAGGAATAACGGAGAACAGTAAAAGTGATGTGCAAGAATTCGAAAGTCGTAAACGCAGATGTCGAATGGTGTCGGAAGCCTGTAGCCTCTTCGTATAGTAAGTCAGATGAGAAACCTTTGACATCAGTGAAATATGAGAAAGTTGGGAATGATGTGGCTAAATTCACACCAAGATAAGTAACCTTTAACACTCTTAACTACAGAATCTTCAATGACACAAACCCTACGAGATCCCAACAGGATGTCTAAGTTCTTTTGATGTCTAAGGCTAAAATTAACAGTTTGAAGTTTAGATAACAAGAGTCTATTCGTAAATTGCAACTAACTGACACAAACATGTCGTTCTAATAATAGTATTATTAAAGTTCACTACAAGTCTTCAATTTTTGAATTTTAAAGCAAAGTTTTCGAAATACCAAGCCGAAACATTATGAAAGAGAAATACTTGAGGACCGAAAAATTGAAGAACAAGTTAAAAGATGAGAAAAGTCATCATAGTGAAAACCAAGTGGAAATAACATTACTCAACTCTCAGTCAAACACCTCAAATTCCTACTGTAAATAATTACCTTATTTCCTGGAAGTTAAAGCGGGATCTTAAGCGGTTTTCTTGTTGTTTTGAGAAAAGTTGAAGTTATTGTTGCCAGTCTGTATTTTGCATCTTTATCCCGAAATACTTTATTCGGTAATGGCACTGCTTCTACCTCTACTCACATCTTTGTTGTATGATTAGCCGAGGATTCATTAAAGTGGAAGTAAATGAGTGAAACGGAAATTTGGAGTATTTTTTAAAAAGGAAGTTTGGAGTTACGCCATTTCCTAAACGTTGGGTTGAGTTTAGTAACTAGAGACACGGCGGTGGTCTAAATTGGGTAAACTTTATGCGACAGATAGGTCACGTTATAATACCTCGAGGGATCAAGAATAGATTAGACGAACCTAACTCACGGGTGGAATTGCATTTGTTTAGTGATGCCTCAGGGATTGGTTATGGGGCAGTAGCTTATGCATGAGTCAGTTATTTGAAGGAACCGCCGTATTGTATCTGGCTGTACATCAAGTCCAGGGTAGCACCTATCAAACCAGTCACTATACCGAGGCTTGAGATGACAGCAGCGGTTTTAAGCGTAAGGTTAAGTGAAGTCCTACGAAGAAGCCTACCCAACTTTTTTTGCGAAGTGAATTTTCATACTCATTCCATGATAGTGTTGTATTACATTAAAATACAGAATACCGATACAGTACTTATATAACTAATCGTCTCTCTATTTTACACCAGTATGCAAAGGTTGAGCAATCGACTTATGTCAAATCGTCGGAGAACCTCGAGAGCTATACAAAATTGGCCGATCTTGAATTAACCTTTACCCGTTAGAGTACAGGAGTCTTAGAGGTGACCTTCTTATGACTTACAGTATCCTTAATACTTCTGGTTATCCCCTTAAACATCTTCTTAAGCTTAGTCACAACACTAACATAAGAGGTAACACACAGAAATTGGAGACCCAACATAGCAGAACAGACTGCAAACACAACTTTTACTCCGTTAGATTTGTCAAGTGCTGGAGTTCACTGCCGACTGAGCTAGTCCAAGCGACCTCCCAGGAGTCCTTTAAGAGGAAACTTGACTTATTCTTAAGGACTAAGGATAACATATTATTTTGATTTACCAAATTCTTTTTTCCTCTATTATCGTTCATATACCTAGGTTCTTACCTGGAGGTATTGGTGATCCACTGCTACCAGACACGGAAGCCCGTTAAGCGAAAGATTCTTGTGTTCTGTCCTCAACCATTTGAACCATTTAGTTTATTCGTTGTATAATATAGTTTTTGATATTCCCTTCCCTTGCAGCGTTTTCTGCCGTCGTTGCTGGTTGTCCCATGTATTTCCGCTTGTCAAATTTAATGCTCTTCTTCACCTATCAAATCGAAAGAAAACACACGAGAATGGTCGATTCTCTTTTTTTACCTGATAAATATGTAAAAGAATTCTCAACTAGTGAAGCACTTCACCTCAACACATTGTTATAGATCATTCAGTAAACCCATTATAAATTGATTCAAATGAAGATAAGCATCCTCAAGTCCTTAGTAGGCCTCTTACACTTCTAGGTTTTGTAAGTTCATATAAAGCTGTATACAGTCCTTCTTGTTTGAAAGATGTTTATAGGTCAACCTTGCCGGTCTATGCAAATTGTAAGGTCAGGGACTTCGTGGAAATGAGCATCCTACAAAAAATAGCCGAGATAGAAGCCGAGGTAACTTTGTAGCAAACCTATTTGTGTAAATGTCTTTTGGGTGGTTTGTGATTTTAAAGTTATATTTACTTCACTTTGACATGTCCCTTTTTACCTCTTATAGTCAATGTTTTATCACCTACTACTTAAGGATTTCATTGCCGCTAAAAGTTGTATCTGGCTTCCATATTATCTGTTAAGTTATATTTTGTTAGGCTCCAGTAATTCACATTATATTGCCAACGTATATCGTGTCTCTGTATGTTTATTTCAAGATAAATCCTGCTTTAAAACGTAAGAGTTACTCAAGAGACCTGATCTTAGAGATGTGTTTGTTCGCGTAATTAATAACTTATGTAAGTTTGCATCAAGGGAGCACTTAATCACAGGGGAACTCAGAGCCAATAGTAATTGAAATAAATACGTTTTATGGCATATCTTGTATACTTAAACTAATCTTACTAATTATTTGTGTTAGGTACAGTGAATAATCGTGACATAGCTTAAAATGTAATGCAGCCTAAATAGCATAGACTCTTTTAATCATCAGAGTAACTCACTTTTCACGTTAGCATTTTTAAAAAACCTATGTAGCATTTCTAAACGTCTTTTGGGCTTTACTCTTCAATAGTAGTACGTAATTTATATTCCTATTTTGACAAAAAGTCATTTGCCTTTACTTGTATCACATTTTTACATACATATGACTTACTGAGTTTTCAGGCGAGACTATAATTTATGGATAAACCAATTATGACTAAAACAAAAGTTTGTGACTGCCGACACCAAATTTATTTATCCATGTGGCCAAATTGTGCTTCGCCATTATAATTGGTGTCAGTTTGTGATGAGAACCCTAACTCTTAATCCTTAGCTTAGCATCCAACTGCATATCTCCACGCCAATTTAGAACCTTTATCTAACCATAGTATTTAATATTATTATTTGAACACAAAATATTGGTACAGAGGCACCATATACATATGCGCCACACAAATCTCATTTGATTTGTATGAGGGCTTAGATACTACCCGGGCGCCCAGACCGAAGCAGGTGGTTTTCTTAGGGGGCCACACCCGGAGCCTTTGACCTGAATGTCTGGTCCACAAGGCAGTGGAGCATCGTAAGGAGATGCAGTCCCATGGTAGCCGGTGACCGACGATTGGTTCATATGCCATTTGTTCCCTCAGGATACTGGAGTCCATGTGCACCATTGGTTTGGAGTCATGGTTTTCCAACTCCCTTAGATAGACTTTCCGTGTTCACCAAACATTCGCTTTTCGTCCTCTCAATTTCGTAAACAACACCCCCGCCACGAGAAGGCAGTGAGTAGGACTTCCCCGGCAGAGGCTGTATACACGTGACTGTGTGAGAGCATCTCAAGGGAGAGGGCGGGTCCTCCCCACTCTCGACCGTACCAGGGCATTCGGGGGTCATAGTATGTCGGTTGACATTCCCAAGGTCACTTTAACATCGCTCTATGGTCGTCCATAAATTATACTCACCTATTCTCACTTATGATCTATTATTCCTAAACGATATAAACAGAGACACCATCTCGTTCATTGATTTCGGCGACAAAATCAAATCAATGCTCCAATTACGCTGAGTTATTAAATCCTGAATCAATCAAATTACTTCAGCATAAATCACACTTCTTACAAACTCTGTATCACTTGCATGTAGTCTTATGTATTGTCATTTTCCAATTTGAATGCACTGTAGTTTTAATGTATTTGTTATATCCCGATAAGAATAATGAATAATAACTTATTTATTATTTATTTATTTAAACACATATATATTGGTACAAAAGGGCACCAGATACATATGCACCACACAAAATAATGAAAGTAGGAAGAGGAGGGATGAAAAGATAAGGCGGACTGAAATGTACAACCAGAAGACTCTTTCAGTTAAGAAAGTTAGAACCACTTTATGACGAAAGTAAAAGAAGGTTACAGCAGGATCGCCACTGGCTTCTATTCTGAGCCATATCTGATAACGTCTCTAGCCACTGTGTTGCACCGTCTCTCGGACCTCAGCCAGGGAGTCGTGAAGGTTCAACAGAAGCTAGCCCTTTGTAGCTCTCTTTCATGCCACGACACCATGTCATACACTGACCTCCTCTCCACTTTTTCCAACCAGTCCCAGAGTCGGCAAATAATGTACGACGTGGAAGTCTTTGGGACGACATTCGTAGAACAAGCCACCGAAATCGGTGTTTCAAGATGGTGACACCAATTGAATTATCGTCTCGGCGCCCGAACACACGATGCCGAACCTCTGCATTACTAACATGGTGTTGCCACTGGATGTCAGCAATCCTTCGGAGACAACGATGATCGAACACAGAGAGTCGTCTAACATCCTCAACTCGGAGAGGCCGGGTTTCACAGGCATAGAGTAAAACTGCTCTCACCGACGCGTTTTAGATCCGACCTTTTACAGCCAGACTAACATCATGAAGGCCTCAAAGATGGCCTAGATTGGCATAAGTCGCTCTGGCTTTCACTATACGTGCATCAATCTCATCACTCACGCCACCACCAGCACTTATGTAGCTACCTAGATACATGAACTTCTCAACTACTTCAATCTGCTCACCATCTAGGGTGAGTACAGGATGAGAATCTTGCCAGTCTTGTAGGAGTACTTTGCACTTGGAGGGTGCAAAGCACATGCCGTACCTGCGGACACTGATTGCCAACTGATTAAGTGCGGATTGCATGCCTTGGGCATTATCGCACAGTAAGACAATATCATCGGCATACTCGAGGTCGAGAAGTCGTTCTCCAGGCAACATATCCACACCGCCATTACTTACATCCATCAGAGCTGTTTCCAGGATGTCGCCGATGGCGAAGTTGAAGAGGAATGGTGAGATCGGGCAACTCTGTCTAACCCCACTGCTCGAATGGAACAAGGGAGAAAGGTGGTTGTATGCCCTCACTCTGCCTGAGGTGTTCGTATACAGGGCCTTTAAGATGTTAATGAACTTCTCAGGCACACCCTTCTTCAATAGACAATCCCAGAGAACAGTCCTGTCCAACGAATCGAAGGCCGCCCTGATATCAAGAAACACTACGATTGTTGGCCTGCGATAAATATGACGGTGTTCTAACATTTGGCGGAGGGTGAAGATGTGATCAATGCATCCTCGACCAGAACGAAAACCAGCCTGCTCCTCGCGAGTCAATCGTTCTCGGGTTTTAAACAACCTACGAAGAATGACAGAAGCCAATAGTTTGGACGCAATCGAAAGTAGACTTATCCCCCGGGAGTTACTGCAGGAACAACGTGAACCCTTTTTAAAGATAGGGATGACTATCGACTCATTCCATGATGTTGGAACACTTTCTAGCTCCCAAACCTTTGCAAACAATACAGTCAGTTCCTTAGCCAGAAAGTCACCAGCATCTTTAAAAAGAGCCGGAGGTAAGTCATCTGGGCCAGGTGATTTGTAGCGTTTCAAGAGTTGGAGTTCCTTGCGGACTTCCGCCCCGTTTGGTGAATCAGTCGTCACCGGCCATGGGGAGCAGGACAAACTGGTTGATGTTGCCGGAGCAGCAGGCCAGTTGAACTGCCCTTCGAAAAGTTCCGCCTATCGTCCAAGACGTCGACAGATGTTAGTGATTGGCATCCCGTCATCCTCGTAGATTGTTTCACTTTTGGGATCCATTTATGGACCAATACTATTTGTATATTTTTATCATATAATTGTTAAATAACCAAACTATTTATAATCATGTCCCTCCTGTTATGAGTTTTATTTTGACCTATGAATTACCATTCTTGAGTTATGCCCCGTCTATCGATTATCTCCCTTATTCACAGCCACATTTGGCTGAATCTTGTACAAATGTTGTTTCCTATTTTATGGTACGATGTCGTCCGTCTGGTTGGTATATAAACTCAGCATGTTTGAAATGAATGATTCATACCGCAGAGGTTGAGATTGATGTTCTGGACTTAACTGGATGGGCTAAGCAGAAAGCAGGACCGATAAGTACTCTAGACTGTTCGCACGCGTTTTATGCGTCATTGATCCGATCGACAAATTACTGCTCTCTAATTGGCGGTATTATCACGTTCTACATTAACAGGGCACATAGGCCACAAGTTATGACATGTATGGCCAACAGTCCTCGATCACTAAAATATCTTATTAGTCTGCCTCCAAACTATCTTTTTTTCAAACGTCTATGTAGTTTCCGCTATCAACCGTATCGTATGAATAAAGATTCTTGGATGAACTCAAATGTTATGGATTTATTTCTACAGCCTGTTTTCTTGTGCTCAATTTTCGTTCATAGATGGCTAGGACACAGAAGAACAAAAATACTATGGGTCATTTAGGATTGTTAAAGGCTCGGTTGGCTAAACTTAGGCGAGAACTTATTGAACCTAAAGGTGGTACTGGCGGAGGGGGAGAAGGTTTTGATGTTGCTAAAACGGGAGATGCACGTATTGGCTTTGTGGGTTTCCCATCAGTTGGAAAGTCAACACTTTTGTGCAATTTGGCCGGTGTCTATTCTGAAGTGGCTGCTTATGAGTTCACAACCCTTACCACTGTGCCAGGTGTTATCAGGTACAAAGGAGCTAAAATTCAACTACTTGATCTACCCGGTATTATAGAAGGTGCCAAAGATGGAAAGGGTAGAGGAAGACAAGTGATAGCTGGTAAGTCATGTTTACAAGAAAAGTCAGTAAATTTTTACGCATAGTTGCCCGAACTTGCACTCTCATTCTCATGGTGCTAGATGTCCTTAAGCCTTTACAACACAAAAAGCTTTTAGAAAACGAACTTGAGGGATTCGGTATTAGACTAAACAAAAGTCCTCCTAATATTACATTACGCCGAAAAGAAAAAGGAGGTCTGAATATTCAAGCCTTAGTAAGTTTTCCCCATTCCATTTTGCTAAAAATGACGTTTTCAGGTCCCTCAGTCTGAATTGGATAAAGAAGTAATAAAAGCTATTTTAAGTGAATATAAAATACACAATGCAGACGTCTCACTCAGATGCGATGCAACTGCTGAAGATCTAATTGATGTGATTGAAGGTAGTCGTGTTTATATTCCGTGTATATATGTTCTCAACAAAATTGATCAGATTACTATTGAGGTATGAAATGAGTCATGTAATTGTTCGGATTTTGTTAGGAGTTAGATATCATTTGTCGTGTTCCTCATTGTGTGCCCATTTCAGCTCATCACAAATGGAATTTCGATGATCTACTTGAGCTAATATGGGAGTACTTAAACTTGATAAGAATTTACACAAAGCCCAAAGGGCAGTTGCCTGATTACAACGCTCCGGTTATTTTGAGATCTGCTTCTCACACTGTTGAGGACTTTTGCAACAAATTACACAAGACTTTAATCAAGGAATTCAAGTAGTAAGTTCAGATAACAGTTGAAAGATTTGATGAAATTTTGTATAAATGCTCCGATCACTTCTGGAAAGTTTTATATCAGAACAGTCGTTAAATACTGTTTATTAGATGATAAAGTGAAATAGTTCAATTCATTCATTTTAGTCCAAGTATTTTTTTAATTTTATGAAATCTGCAAACCCCTCGTATGCAACGTAAGAATGTTTAATAACATAAAACCTTTGACAACAATGAATTACAGAATAAGCAAGAGCTTAAAAAGAAGTTAGTAGTATAAATCTCACAGGAAAGGAGTTAGGTAAGACAAAGTAGTTTAGAATAAAATTATTCGCCTTGCAGACAAATAGTTCATAATCACTTTTGTCATTATTGATTTCTATGGTTGGTGATAGAACCTAGATATTCTGCGAGTTCATAGACTTCAGAGTATTTTCCCCATTTGGCCACTTCCAAAATTTCTAGTCCATAGATCCAGTCCACAAAGAACTGTTCCAACATCATGAGAGCAATTTGCATGGTAACTGGTATCCGATTCAGATTCGTATACTATTTCTATTTCGACCATTCTTTACTACTGACAATAGCCTATCTTTTACAGGTTCCTTAGTCAGATTTATGATACAACGAATAAACTAACAGGGAGATATAGTAAACCAGAGAGACTAGTCAAGGGCAAAGAAGGAAAGGCAATCACGGAGATTCAAGAACAGAAGAACAGATGATTAGAATACCTTGAGGAACTCTTGAGTAGACCAGCTCCATTAAATCCACCGGAAATCGAAGTAGCTCAAACAGACCTTCCTATAGATGTCAGTCCACCAACGATCGAAGAAATCAGCATGTTCATCAGACAAGCAGCAGAACCTGACAATATACCAGCTGAAGCACTGAAGTCAGACATTGAGGTAACTGCAAACATGCTTCACCTTCTATTCAAGGAGATTTGGGAGGAGGAACAAGTGTTAACGGACTGGAAAGAAGGACACCTCATCAAGATACCAAAGGAAGGAGACCTTAGCAAATGTGAGAATTACAGAGGAATTACACTACTGTTAGTGCCAGGAAAGGTTTTCAACGGAGTCTTGCTGAACCGGATGAAGGACTCAGTAGACGCCCAACTTCGAGATCGACAGGCTGGATTCCGTAAGGATCTATCGCGCACAGACCGAATTAACACACTACGGATCATCGTCGAACAGTCAGTTGAGTGGAACTCGTCACTACACATCAACTTCATTGACTATGAGAAGGCGTTTGACAGCGTGGACAGAAGATTATGGAAACTTCTTCGACACTATGAAGTCCCTGGGAAGATTGTCAACATTATCCTAAACTCGTACGACGGGCTACAGTGCAAAGTCGTGCATGGAGGACAGCTGACAGATGCATTCTAAGTAAGGACAAACCAGCTTCCAGCTGAATAGGAAATTAGGAAAAGACGTTGGAGGTGGATAGGACAGACATTGAGGTGATCAGGAAACTGCATCACGAGTCAAGCCTTAACTTGGAATCCTGAAGGGAAACAGAAAAGAGGACGGCCAAGGAAATAGAAGCAGATATGAAAAGGATGAACGACAACTGGAAGGAATTGGAGAGGATCGACCAGGACATGGTTGGTTGGGGAATGCTGGTGGGTGGCCTTTGCTCCTGTAAGGGGAGTAACAGGCGTAAGTAAATAAGTATGTAAGTAAGAGTTAGACTTATGATTGTAGTTATCGTTAATTAACCATGTGCCAGGGACTTACTAATTACAATGCATCACGAATTTTATCAAGTTCAAATTTTGATAATCAATGTTTTCGGCTGTTTTAGCAGTATTCTGTTCCTATTTTATATTTACTAATAAGTAGACAGTGAGAAATTTAGAATTTCATCCCATATATTTTATTTAAACAAACTTCATTTTTCATATTTGCTTTGGCTTACTGGTGTTTTGTGCTGGTGAAGCACTGTTTCGTGACGTATAAATAGTACTCAATATAATATTATTTTTCTGTAGTGTTCACGCATAACTTGGATTTTTTGAACAAACGAAGCGTTCAGTAGCTGTTTTTCCAAATTATGTATTATTATCAAATTCTTAGACATTTTTTTACTATTCATTAGTAAATTTATAACAAAGAAGAAGTTATATTTGAAATTTATTCCAATAAACCTCTATCGAGATGGAACCATTAAGAACAGACCAATTCTACCGTCACTTTATATCCTTTGAATTTATCAAAGATCTGTAGTTTTATGAAAGTACATAAAATTCCGTATGCTATTTCTGTATGGGTTATTGAAATATGATGTCTTGTTTGACAACTTAAAATAGTTTGATCACCGAATTCCTGTTTCCAGCGTTCAGTAGTTCGGGATCTAGCCATTCTGAACAGTTTCAAATTTTATTTATCTATAAGGGACAATGATCACGTTAACTAAATACTGTGTCCTTCAGGTTTTCTCCAAAGTAGCCATTATTTATAGTAGTCTGTGTTGTCGTGTCGCTCCACTTAACTTGTAGGATTCCATGTCCTTTATATTTCAAGGCATTTTTTTACTCGATATAAATCTGAATAAATCACCTCTATCTTTTAACGACAAACTGTTTAGTCTTAGCAATCAAGCAGAATTATATATACTTAATCTACTTCATTCATCTTTATTAAAAAGCTCTAAATGATTTTCTGTCAACATCTCATATCAAATTTATGCCAGTTAATCCTTTTGGGATGAAATGGATTCATCATAATCTTTCAACTTGCTCCAATAACTTACCATTGTAAATTTATTTTACTGTTAATTATAAATACATGTTATTGAATATTGTGAACTTCATACATTCATACAAATGTACAGAGTTCCTAACCTGTACTGTATTCTACCTAAGGATTATGGAAACAGTTGGCAATATTATCACATGCTGAAATATCTCTATCATGAAGATGCAAGTAGTTGACGAGCCAGATTCTTATTTATGGACTTTCGCCATATGTTCGCTCCGGTTATTCAATTTTTTGATTTAGTCTAAATTTTAACAATCTACTTAGAAAGATTGTCTTAGCTGCCTAAAACCATTAATTTTTTTTCTAAAAGGATAGTTAATTTTAATCGGAATTCAACATTTCACTGAATACCATAATTCTTTTCATTTTAATCTCGATACTGAAGTATTTCTTAAGAAATATTTGTATCTTCTAGTTAGTTGTTAAACAATTTGTTATTAGAAATCCAAGTTAGTATACTAATTATATCCTTTAGAAATATCATTCGTGAGTTTAAAATAAAGTTGTCACTTATATTCTGGAATAATCCCATTAGAATATTATGGTTCTCTCTGAACAATTCAGTCTAGTCTGGCTAGCTTAAATGTAACATTTCTTTTGACTAAATAATACAAATAATTTTGTTTTCAAATATTATATGTCTCATAATTTTGAGTATTTTACGTATTTTTTTAGTGCTTTTGTTTGGGGTTCGTCAGTAAAACATCAACCGCAGCGTGTAGGTAAAGATCATATACTTCACGATGAAGATGTTGTACAAATTGTTAAAAAGTAAGTATCCATAGATTATCTAAAATATCACCATACAATATATAAATGAATGGTATTCGTTTTAAGAAATTGTCACCAAGTTCTACGGTTATAATTTCAGAATAATGATCAAAACGAATAACCAAATCCGGTGCAAGTTTATCTATTTGAAATCCAGGCTATAAATGCAAGGTTGTTAGTAAAATAAGTTTGTTAGCTAGCATTTATCAATAGTGAAACAATTAATGTTTAACGTATACTTGAACTGGAGTTGTGCTTCAGTGGCTTCACTTTCGCGGTTCCGACGCTTAACAGCTGGGCTTGTAGGCAAATATCAGTCTGTACTTGTGCGGAAATTAAAAGTTCAGTAATGCAACTAATATATTTTATTGGGCTAGAATTTCAAAAACTACACTATAACTAAATTTAAAGTCATAAACTTGAGTGTTAAAATCAACATACAATTACAATTTTCTTAAACGACTCAACGAGATTTTATCCTTTAGGATTCTATATTTCCCCAATATTAGTAAACCTTCGTATCTGCATCACTGCTGGTTTACTACAGTTTTGTTTCAACCGTTTACTGCCCAGAAAAATCATCATAACATGTACATCCATGTACGAGATTGTTTTATCATATGTTGACCATATATATATATATATATATATATATATATATATATATATATATATATATATATATATATAACACTTATTTTTTTTTGTTTCAGAGTTTGACCGATTCGCCATTCACTGTGTCACTTTTACCTCTCTTATGTATTTATTGAGTCTGCCAAAATTGTGATGGACAAATAGATTTCAGCGATATGATTTCGACAAGTGCTTCGCGTTATTATTATTGTATTTACAGATTTTCAATAGTTTTTGAATAAAAATATTTGTGGAGTAGACTTTCATGTGTTTATTTTCGGTAGCGATACTTTTTAATCGATAACGATACTATGTATGTATGGTGGTGGCACAGAGATTGGTTGGTTGTTTCGTTGGTAAATATACCAAGATTTCAATACAGATGTACTTTTTCAAAAAAAATATTTTCCAATAATGTTTCCAGTTATATCTTACTTTATTTACCTAACATTGGTACTTAAGTTTGAAGACTTTATATTGTGGAATTAGATAACACAATAACCAAAACTCGGATATGTAGATCATTTTTATGTTGACTTTAATGGTCCTAAGGTATTTTAGTTACCTCAATCTCATATTCTAGGTCCTGATTCCTAATAGAGTCGCGCTTGTATGCTCTCGAGGACACAATTTTTTATAATCCGATTAAAATCAGTACATAGTGCGAATCGTAATCAGTAGCATTTATTTATTTCTGATTGCTCTTCAGTTAATGTAGTGGGTTGGGACTGAAATCACCTTTGAATTTATCCGTCTATCTTCTAAACGCTAATTGTCAGTTATATTTATCGACCATTCTTATATCTGATTGTATCAAGATTAAAGTGATAATTAGATAATTGTTTAGAAACATAGTTTTTTTCAAATAAATAGTGAACATGGGAATTTCGAAATACTTATGCGACAATTCGCTTATCAATTTTTGTACTAGGTATTTGCTTGATTATTCATAAAATGAGAATAATTTTACAGCAAACAAGTTGTTTAGTTTTACTATATTGTATGACATTACAGAAGATTCTTATCATCTTGATGTCTTCGTAAAAAAATTATTTATCTCTAAAAAAAAGTAAACCATGGTTACTCTATTAACCAATTGGCTTGAGATTCATTCTCAATTTATCTCAATCTTTAGGAAAATTCTTGTTACCACTTTAATAGGGAGGGATATTGTTGTCAGCTCATTAACGCGTGTCTTTGAGATTATATATATATATAACTATCACCTTTATATCTGGCACTAAAATATTTTACAGAACATCTCTTCCATCGAAATCAATTTCCGGACATTTTAGATGGTGTGCTACCTATTTACTTTCGAATGTATTAAGGTTCTCGGTATTCGTTTCAGTAATTGATTATGTTCTTCTACACTCACGTTATTGTCATAATTTCTTTTAGTATCTCTTGATAAGGAGAGGTGATCACGATGGTTATTTAGCTTTTCGGATAATATCCTATTGTCATCTTACCCTCATATTTCATCGTTCTACTTTTAAAATCTTTAGGATAATCGTTTGTTCAGAATGAGAACGTAATTAGTTTCGTTTCTGTGTTTTACTTCTAATTCTTCAGCGAGATGACTGGCTCTGTTTACGAGTTGCTTAGTAACTTGTTACTTCGTTTGTTGATTTATAAATCTTTGAAAGTATCAACTTTATGAAATGCTAAATGTCATATTATTGTCTTGTCGTTTTTCAACTAAACAGTCAGGATTCTGGTTTATGATCCTCCCTGTAAAATTTAATGCCATCTTGTACAGTAATTATACTTATTAAAAGTTTACACAGAAAAACTCTTTTACAATTACTAGTTATCATCTAAATGTTAGATGGGATGATCTATTTCATGACTCTACTTGGTCTTAAGAAATTTAAATGAAGTATCCAATAATCTGGAAACTGGAGACCCTCATTACTACTTCTATACATTACTGTAGATCTGAATAAAGTTTAGGAAGAGAAAGATAATCCATTAGTATCTAATAGAAAGCGCAAATATAAGTTCATACTTATACTCAAGATTTATATTTATTATTATTTATTAGCCTTATATATACCTAGCTCAACAAAGAAGAGATATGGAACTTGGTTTAACTTTTACCAACTCACTGTGATTAGATTTATTTTGAGATGGTAGAAAAGATTTGTGGCTCAGTATGATGGTTTTTGTCAAGTGGCCATCTCTTAACTGGGTAGTCCAGTGGTAGTTTCATTGTCCTTCTAGTCAACGTCGTCAGGAGAAGCTTCATAAACTGGGGTGCAATAATTCCTTACAAGTAGAACCCAAGTGGAAACATTGTTTATGCTTTACATATTTGTTTATATGTGTATACCTACTTATGTTCACATCATTTTTTAAAAATAAAACATTTGACTTATCTTTATTTATTGTACTCAAGCATTCATGGTATTGCACTGTAGTCTCAATAATAGTAAGAAATGCCAATCGTTGATGCTTGTTATTGATAAGATCAATAAAGTGGAGTGAGCTACAAATTTTTCTTTTATTTCTTTTTCAAGAATATTTGGAATTTTATGAAATTAGATTTCAGTAAACGTAAATGATAGTCTTTTCATAGTTGAAAGCATGAATCAATTGAAGCTAGACCACCAGGGAAAACCTGGAAGTACTGGGCGGCCGCTTCCTCTTATTGTGGGACTCCTCTGCAGTGCACATCCACGACCTCGCCTCATGAGATTCGAACACAGTCTCGCGCCAGAGCACTTAACCGCTAGACCACTGAGCCGGCATTCTATGGTGTTTATGTCTAACTCCAACCAATCCACGAAGTTGAGCTACCGTTCACCAATTGTCTTCAGTGAGTTGATATCTCACAACAGACGTGGTTTGAACTCCACTGGAGGAGTCCCAAAATAGGACGAAACGGCCGTCCAGTGCTTCCAGGTTTTCCCTGGTGGTCCAGCTTCAATTGACTCATGCTTTCAACTATGAAAATACTAAATCTCCACAAAACCCCTTCTGATAATAGTAAATGATAGTGCTTTTCTGTGTTGAAATTTTAAACTTTTTGACTAAAATATTATCGTGTATTTATATTTGTATGTTCTTTAAATGGAAAATTAGTAACCGAACTAGGACAAGCACTTAGAAACTTTTTTATTGTTTTCTAAAATATATGTGAAGAAACTTGTAGGCAAAATGATTCTTTGTCTGACTTTCTAACACTTAGTTATTAAAATGTTTGTAACTGAAAATTAATGCACTTCGTCTTGATCAGAATTAGATAATTCATCACATACTAATTTACATTAATTGTATAGATTGAATCAGTATAGACGTTAAATTATGTTAATTACGAAAATTGGCAGTAATTTGAATACCTAGAATCTTGTTGTGTTGTTGCAATCAATACCACTTATCTGTTGAGTTGTATGTAGAGCGGTTTAAAGCATCCTTAAAGTTAACACTTTTTAAGCGCTTTAAGTAATTGTTACTTTGAGGATGTAATCTATATTATCAGATTAGTACTATCCATAAAATATGAAATCTGTGTAGTTAGTTGTCGCTTTTCTGACCATTCAAATACTATTATTTGACTATAAGTTTTTTCAAGGTATTACTATCGTATGTTGGAACTGTTGAGTGAGCACTGTTGAAGGTAGACGCATGGTGCTAGACAAAGATTATAAATCTTCATTGAGTGAGGTGTTTGGAACATGTATTACGTGTACCCAACAACCACCTACCTTGACTCACGATATTTGATGACCTGGGAGCGAGTTTGAAAGAAACTACGGGCGTTCAGAATAAAAGTTGGCATCGATCTTTGAAGTCATTGATCACTGGACTAGGCCATGTTAGTAAATTATGACTACCTTGCTGAAGTCAACTCAATTATCATAACTAACGGTTTGAGAGTGACTATACGGCTCAGAATTGATTTCAGTGACACAGACTCACTCATTCTTTATCTTTCCTAAGATCCTGTATTTTGAAATTATTTTATATCTTTTAAGCATCTTTCTCGAATTACGTTCTCTATCCCTAATTTCTTTTTACTATCGCTGATACTGTTACTAATTTTATGGCTTTGGCATTCATTCTGATAGCCTTTTCTCTTTGTGATGTGGTGTGAGAATGTTTACTGATATAGTGATGTGCCAGATTTTACGTTGGTTATGGCTAATTAACTTATTGATCGTTACGTTTTTATCAATACTTAATCTCTTTTTTCTACTGCCAAATATCAAGTATTATATGGGATTAGTAATTTTTCAAGAGATTGGAAGTTACTAACAACTAGCGTTTCCGTTGATCACTTTGAATATGTATCTGAGATCATAGTACCAATTTTTATTTACCACTGTCCTTACTTCAATCGAGTTATGCTTTTGTCACTGCACTTTTTCTGTTGCAAAGATTCTTTAGATAATCCTTGTTGGAGATATTACTTCTACTAATCAATTTGACGTTATCATCATTTTTTCATTTTTATAGAATTGTGGATGCGGAAGTGCATTTTATGTTAGTGAAATATAGTAGGTAATGACATAGGCACTTAGAAATAACCTAATCTGTCCTTTTTTTGTCCCGAAGATCATGATGTCCTCTTGGTTCGAATAGAGAATCTGTCAACATCACTAAACAATTGAAAAATGATTCATCTTTAAATATTATGTTCGATGGATGGTAGTTTTGATTTTGCCAGTTCTCGTCATCAAAAAATCTAGTGATCAACCCAATCAACAGTATAATTGTTTCGTGATGAAAATGTTACTTCATCAGGTAACTAGTGTGGTGTGTACTACTGATGTCGACAGATATAAGTGGTGTGCATCATCAATAGAAAGTGAAATACCTAGATGCAGAAAGTTAAGAAGATCAAAGGAAAGAGAATGATTGATTTGCAAACGAAGAAACAATGACATCTGAGACGATTGATTGACTTTGCGAATCAAGTATTTACTGTATAGTTTTCAGATTTTACTAGGACGTTCTGTAATTTTCTATATAATTTGATTGTCCCACCTGTGTTCTCGTTCACTACACTAGTACTAAGGAAATTGTAGATCTAGGTTACGACGCTTCGAGACTGCATATATTTACACGAAACAATTCGCTATGTTATAATCATAGAGTGGTTGACCGTTAGTGATATCCATGTTTGAATATTTCAAGTGAATGGGTAAAAAATATACAACTTTTGTTATGCCAGACCGTTCTGAATGTCATCCAAATTGTTATAAATATGAATTTTCAAAAGTAATAAAGTTCCACTAGGAATGTACCATGTTAGAACCTCGTCTTAGTAGATACTGTTTAGCTGTTTATATCGTATGTTTTTCGGTAATTTACAAACTCTGAAAACAATGGTTCTCCAATATTTTCTATCTACATAAAGATTCTGTTGAAATCACATTCTCTGAACTGGGCGTCTTAGTTGTAAGTCTTTAGTTGTCTTTCTATTTTCATACATACATTAGGGATTCAGGTGGGACATGTTTCTTGTTCGTTATACCTTATTAAATTTGAGACAAAGGTTCTGTATTTTAATCTGGAAAAATACTTAATCCAATCATACTGCTCATCCATATCATGGACTTTGAGTCAATTTAATTTATTCATTACATTGTTGGAAGATTTTATTATTTAGTCAGTTAATCAACATTAATTAGTTATGTGATTTATTACAAATTTTCCTATATGAACTTTTAGCCGCTCTTATGCCGACCACATCCGATTTACTATCTAAACCTGAAAGAGAAAAATGCTGGAAATCACGTGATGCATTTTGGGAATGTGTTATTGATGTAATCTCAAAAAATTCAGAACCTGATGAAGAGTTGGTAAGAAAACAATGTAGCAAACAAAGAAAACTTTACGAAGAAATGTGTCCACGAGTATGGGTTAGTTCACTATATGGTATTTGAGTTTTCGAATGCTAGAAGTAGTTGGCTTAAATACATTCAGCTGATCTCATGAGTCTAATCACAGTACGTAACTAATTAATCATAATTCGTTGTTTCCTTTTTAGATACATACAAGCTAGCATACAGATTAATTATAGTTCAAACAGACATACCACGGGGATTGACGTAAATATGTTTTTTTAGTCTACCGCATTTTATATCATATGAACAAAAAACCAGAAAATGATAGGGGAAAACTGTTTCATTAATATTAATAACAATATTGGTTAGCTAAAATGAATATGGAAACACTTATTGTTATCTTGTGAACTGCACCTAGAAAGCGTACACCTTCCTATACGGATCGTCTATACGTCTGATATCATATTTTGGTCTGACAATCTTCACATTTTTCCAATCTACCTTTATACTGTTACTCAGGTTATCCGTCCCGTAAGCTGTTGAGTTTTCTGTTACCTGCGAAGGATCAATTCAAAAAAATAACTCAGGTTCTGTGGATTTTGCCACTACATTAATTTAGAGTCGTTAGATAGTTTTAATATTTACCAACCTTCATGTTTTGTAATAATGTGTGACCAGAATGTAATCGTGATGTTCTCAATGTTCTTTGCTACTAGCTTACTACAATGGTATGATGGAAACACCGGCATGTTTCTCTATAGTTTGGAGACTTAAATTTCAACTATTAGGTTGCGGTTTTGTCACGCGTTTTTTGAGTGAATTGATCCGATTGTGGTGTTCCATCTGTGCTACAGTCTGCTTTCATGATTCGGTTACAAAATGCTAGCTCTTGCTAAACACTTAACCAAACTGCTATACAGTTGAAAGGACTGAAAACAATTGAGAAGCTTTAATTGTCAGTTCCAAATACACTGTACACAACTCAGATAATGATTTGTAAGCGATGACCTTGGATAGGTGAATAGTTCTCAATTGTATGCCTCGATTGTACTTTTAACATCTTATATCTGACTTTCAGAACATATAACATGTTCATGCTCATTTAGCCTTCCCTCCCCGAGAGGCTTTTCTTCTGGCATTCAATTAAAGCGAGATCATGTAAATTTGTCATTCTCAACATGATCAGCAACTCTAGTGGTCTTGAATAAATGTAATAAGGCATTCTAAAGTATTATTATTACTTGATGTGTGCGAAATTCCCATTTATTGGTTGTGTACTTCAGTCGTATGTGCTCGATAAATTTGAAATACGAAAGTAAGTTTCAAGAAACATGAATTTTAAGTCATTAATTTTTCATTGTAATCTTTTCAGAATATTTTGATCTCCAGCATAGGGTTATTAAGAAATCAGAAGTTTGTAGTCCAAAGAATCTGCCTACTATAAAGTGATCAGTGTATCACAGGTTTTTTTCGTTTATTCTTTTATGTAGGCTTATAACTAAATAAGTGCTTATTGGTGTTTATTATTCTAACTGTAATTGACTTATGATGCGAAATCTCTTTCTAACTAAGCTTCCTACAAGCAATTGTACTATTTTTTTCTGTTTTAAATATCAATATTGTAATGACATCAGTGTTTTTATAATTCTGATCATGAAATTTTTTAACTTAATCTTTGGATTCTGAAGTGGTGGTTTCCTCAATCTTAGTTTCTATTTTAAATATTTTAGCATAAAACAGTGTATATAGTACTTCTATATCAAATTGGATGAAAATACTTTTTAATTTATAAACCATCAACATTTTAATCTTTTTTGTTCAATTAGGACCGTAATGGAAGTTAGTGTGATTGAGTTTTGAGATCTGTTAATTATTTCAATTGACCATATACAACCATATACACAGGTTCGTGTAAATAGATTAATAATTACTACTGGGTTATTTATATCTTAGTAAGTAGTAGGAATTGTACCAATCACCCAGTAGTTGAAGTGAAACCAAACTATGAAGGTTTCAAGAGCGCTTTCCTAGAGATTATATCATTTGAATTCACTTGGTGTTGTTTACTTATATCTTCCCATTGTTGCTTAGGACCGCAATTGATCAGTCTCTTGTTGGCATATGTGCATACTGTGCGTATTGCTTTAATTCACAAGCATTATAAGCAAAGAAGAATAGTGGCTAGCAGTGGAATTTAGGACGTGCATTTCATCCTCTTCGGGACTAGTCAGTTGAGTGTAGCTGCATCTGATAGTTGATGTTCACTCCGGGACTCGAACCAAACACCGTTCGCTCCAAACGTCATACACTTAGTTACTGAGTCATCATTTAATATATTTACCTGTTCAGTTGATACATTCATGTATATCTTACTTAAATGCTACTGGCTATCTTGATCTAACCTTGAAATTGATGTGAAATTTTCAAAGGGTAATACTTTCATGTTTCAGTAAATATGTCATTAGAGTTGGTTTTTGTATACCATATTTCCTCAGTTGATTAAAATTCTACTTAAGTGATAAATCATCAAAATAAATCCGGGGCATTTATTTTGGCTAAATTGTTGATAAGTTCAACTGAAGAGTCACTAACATGATATTTCCTGAAAGGTTTCTTTATTCATTATGTAATGAACGAGAACAAAGGTGGGGGCAACCAACTATGTGAAAACCATAGGTTCACTACTTCATTTGCAAACCCTCCATCAATTGTCTCAAACTTCATCGTTCTTTCATTGCCATAACAATTACTCTCTGTTCCCATTCTCGATTCCATCTTCCCAACCCCCTACCGCCAAGTATTCCACTTCTGACGGGCGTTATATACTACTTATATAGACGTAAGTAGCTTACGCTACAATTATAATTATTTAGAGGTTTTAAGAAAGTTCTCTGAAAATATGATTGGTAATTTTATGTCGGCTAGTTTTTCCTTTATATTTTCACGGTTCAAACAATAATGTGTGTGGACTAAGTCGATCTCTGGATATACTTATTGTTTTACAGTAAAATACAATCTACTGAGCTCAGAATGTTTTTTATCATGAAGTGAAATAATCTGAGAAAACTTACCTTACATTTATACCAAAGATTCTACACAGGATTAAACCTAAAATTTGTTAGTCTCGTGGTGAATACAGTATCATTCAACCTGAGTTATAAATGAATAGTTTACACTGTCAATTAGTTATGTGGCGCGATAATCATTCATTGCCGTCAGAGATAACTGCTTTGTTCTCTACATTATTAAAGTTCGTCAGGTATAGGTTTCTCATTGGAACCTAGATAAATCGATATTCGATTTAATCACTATTCAGCACGCCATTTTCTATTTAGATAGGAGATTAGTTTTAGATCAAACTCGTAAGGTTTCATATTTTTCCACTGCTTTGGACTCCAAAGCTGGACAAACAGGTTGGTTCCTGATTTTATTAACTAGTTTCAGCGGTCATAATTACACTATTGCGATAATACGTTTTCATATTTCTTTTTATATTTTCCTCAGGTCAATTTTTTCGACAAGAAGAGAGATTTTGAACTTTTCAAGGCTAAGAAATTTGAGGAGGAGTTGTTAAATAGCGCTAGTTCACAGAGTTAGTGATTGCACTCGATTTCTATAAATATACGTTAAAACTATTTCCAGCAAATCCAGTTTTTTTTAACTACATATTTATATAGTAGCTAAAATTCAAATGACATTTGACAGAATGGTGCGTAGGTACAAGTGACTCAGTATTTAAAGTACGGGGCAACGGGTTCCCAGATAGTGTGAAGTATGTTGGTTGCAGAAACATATGTTGAATCATGAGTTTTACTTTACGATGTACTAATTCTGCATAAAATATTTATAAGTTGGGATTTTGAAAAAAAAGATTGTTTTCATAGTTGCATCTGACTGTTTCAATGTGTAGTTTGTCAGAATTGTGATAATTAATAAATTCATTTAATCTGAACTGGACAACGTTGAGGAACTTAGTGTGTTCAAATTTTCATCTCAATGTCAACGAGTTTAAAACTTCAGCTATCCATAAAACTTTTATCAATAATCTGGAGGCGCGAGGATTATTCGATCGTGCGATTAGTCAGTTTTAATTTCAAGATGTGTGAAAATCTTATAAATATTCATAGAAATAACCCAAATATGTCTGCAAGTTCTTGAAAGAACAGTTAACCTATGACCAAAAGCTACCAGGTTGTATTTCTTCGACAAAGCCATATATTATCGGATTTGGATTTATTTCTCTCGTAATTTGAACGCCTTTTCCAATGAAATGAAAACAATTACTATCAGAGAAATCAGAACCGGTTATTGCAAACGAAAGTAGTTTATCTTATTCGATAACAAATTATTTTTCGGAAAGAATTAAAAGAAAAGGTATGTGAAATTGAATTAGTTATTTTCCTAAATCCTAGTAAAGGTATTTTGAAGATTTTATCACTAAACAACAACTGCAAAAGCCATTAAGAAACGAGGGATGCCGTCCAATCCAAATTTAAGACGTCAGAAATTCTTACTCACTTCTTCCGATGGTACTTAATTAGAACTCTTTCGGTTTGAAACAAGTAGGGCAACACTCATCTATTGATTCTAAATATGGTAATGAACGTCTTCATATCTCCCACCTTGTATCATACGGCCATTATTCAATGTTATCAGTGTACAACTCTCTATTGAGTTAACTTCAACGGTTATGGTTTCCAAGGAAAATAATGGATGAGAACGAACTAATCAAGCTTCGTCACTAAACTCAACACCACATATTATACTATTTGTGCAGTCTCAGGTACCCAAAGTCCCTCACAACTGTACTTACAAATCCACATATATATGTTAGGAAGTAAGGGAGATCTATCTATTCCTCTTAGAATGTTTTGCATGTCTGCAGATCAGGCTCTAGGTAGTTTACAAATGCGATTGTACACCACCCAAAGATATTATCATTTATTCACTATTTTCAGTAGATTAGGATCCAGAAAACGTCTGCCTATAAAACAAAACAGTCGTCAACCCAATATTGCTTAATTATAACAAATAGCATTTTGAAAATATATTAATCCCACTGAACCTTTTTTATGATTCTTTTTTCGCTACTTATGAGTAAAAGCTTTGCTAGTATTATAAAAACTGTTAAAAGCATATTTTGATATGTACAATCTTCAAAAACATTTGCAAATGTAAAGCACGTTGATTATACAAATTGCTTACATTTTTTATGAATACGGAATGTCTCCACCCAAAACACGATTAATATTGTGCGAGTCTACCAATAAATATTACTGCTTTCTCTTATTGGTGTATTCCTGCCTAAGTTCATGCAGTTGGATCCAAAAATGAAAACTTATCTTTCGGGTATTTTGGGTTAATCAGACATAAGCCAAGCAATAGGGGAGAGATGTTGGCGGGCGTACACTACTAGTCAAGATTTGGCTGATCGTTCTGGGGAAATAAACAAACGCTGTTAGTTTGAAATGCGATTTAATTTTCTGAGGAACACGTACCTATATCTGTGAATAAGTTGTGGTTGCATTTTCGATGGGGTTAGCCAATAAAAGTTTCTTACTCATTTTTGATAGCATGACTCCGGTAGCTAGTTCGGAGACATATGTACGAAGCGTGTACATTAACAGCAGACTCAGACAATCAGAACATTTTTCAACGACAAGGTGGTTATTTTATGTAAAATAAATCTACGTGCTTAAAATGTTACCTCAATTCCTTGTTTTCTAATACTTTTCCGAGCTATTATTTTTGACTGTACACAATTTAAATAATAACTCAATCCAAAACCTAAAGAGAAAAGGGTGTACAATTCTTGATGTAGGTGAACAAAGCGACCGCTAATTATCACTCAGACTGCTTGATAGTCAGTTGTTAATTAAGTTCACTTCACTCTTCTTGGTTATCTAATTTAAACAGTTACATATCACCTAGATTCACGTTCAGTCTCGATGTGGTTGTTTTTTTTACTGTTAGAAAAAAAAATCAAGAAAAGTAGCAATAATACGAACGAGCTCTGGTTTTTAGTACATATGACCACACAATCATTCCTCTGTCTACAAAAATAAATATTTAAATAATATAGATGTTGGTTAGACTTTCGAAAGTTTGTGATGTCATCTATTTTTCTTAATCCTGCTTTCTTACCTCTGTTTCAACCATATGGAGTAATTTACCAAACGAACTCTACATTTCCTAGTTTTTAGACCCAGAATTGATAATTAGTGAAACTAACAACAACTTATCACAATAGTATTCTTTTTATTTCACCTCCAAAAAAAGAAAAAAACGGAGCCGCAGTTACATACTGGCAGAACTACCGCTGCTACCACTACAAGGAGTAAGTAGTGGCAGTAGCAAAAAAACTACCAAATAACTATCATCTATGATATATATAATAAAATTACCAGTAATAATGGTTATAAGACTAGTTATAGAAAGATAATCATCATTAGCAATATTTCCTGTTAGCTTTGAGATCCCTTTCCATCATAGAAAAAAAACCATTGCATGTATACGACAGTAATTAATAAGTAGTATTCTTGAAATATGAAGGAAACTGTATATTAAAAACGTGAAAGAACATATAAGTGAAAATAAGCTAATCTGTATGATGATGTATGAGAGTAATCAAATAATAAGTGAGTTTGTCATGAACAGTAACTATCATATAGTTGAAACAGTTCTGGTTCTTGGGCGTGATAGATTGCTTTAACTACCGATAGAAAATAATAAAAAATTGATTATTTTGGCTTCTAAAATGCATATTATTAGTAAGGAAATTAATGAAACTTAGTGATCAGTAATACAGTTTGTTATCTAATGATAATCATTTATTATGTCAGCAGGGTTCAGGCTAGTTGAATCAACTAACATTTCAGTGGTAATAAAATATATTTTTCCTTACATTTGCGAGAATTCATTATACGCGCTGTATGAGAATAAATGTATTTCTTATGTCAATATATATAATTGTAATAAAAATGAAATGTTTGCAAAAAAATACTGGATCATCAAAGAGAAAATAATAAGTATTATCTGTATTTAATATTGAGTGAATAAAATTCAGTTTCGTTTTTGTTAACTGGTCTTTGTTCTGATAATTCTTTATACAAGGCTACAGTGAATATTATTATAAGAGAGGGAAGGGCATGATTTTTTACAAAATGGACTGACTGGTAGTTGGCAGTAATTCTTGGTGCTGTCGTTTTCATCAGCACCACAGCCACGAGTATCAGAGAATTCTGTTCATAAAAGCACTTCGTAAGGTAGTTTCGAATCATATACACACACAGAGAATAATACACGTACTGTATTGATGTTATTGTTTAAACACGTAATGGGAATAAATGGAATTAAAAGATAAAATTTATTTTAAAGGAAAAAAGAAGCACGCACTGTGAATGTATCTAATCCACGGCTTACTCTACTGATAAAATCACCACACACTTTCGACAGTTCTGTTGATAATTCTAAATTCATTAAATCCTACTACTCTTTTGTTTCCTGACAAAAATTACTGTTTTATTTTATTAGCCAACAATCAAGTACACATTGACAGTTCACTGATTGTTAGTCAAAGAATTAGAAAGGTTTAATTTTTTGTTTTTCTAATAAATCCTTAAGATAAAATATTTTCCAAAGATTTTTTTCAATGTATAGGATGGCAAAAAAAAGTTATCTATGTCGAGCTTATTTTCTCATTTTGTATGGAAATAACTATAAATAGTTGGCAAAAATATAAGAAAATAAAAGACAGGAAAAGAACAATTCACAGCAGTCTATGAAGATTAACATACAACTCCTATATATGTGTATGTGAATTGAAGGACGAGTTGACAGTGCTTTGTTGTTTTGTCTCTTATAAATGTTACATTTTACTAAGGAATCCAGGTTTTGGAATACCACTTAGACTGCCTGTTATTGTGCCAAGTATCGATCGTGTTGGACTACTTCCTAAATCAGGTCGAACAGCCTGAGCAGTTTCTTCCATCTATAATAGAAATAATGGAAAACTTATTATTCTTTCGAATAGATTTTTGTAAAAGAAGATAATAAAATTAGATTTTACCTCAACACAGTTATATCCATCTCTTTAGGAACTAGTTTAAAATTTATCATAGACCCATTTTAAAAACTAATTTTTAGTATTGTAAAGAATAGATATCAAACACTTTACTTATTGAAGACCTGTTATAACAAGTTTATCATAACATAATAATCATAGTTATGTTTTCAGAAGCTGTTTTTCTAACTGAAAGCAATAGTTTTATGTTGCTTGATTATTACATAACATAAATAGTATTATCAGCGGAAGTTGAATGATAAACATTTAATGAAAAGAATATATTGTGATGATGAGTCTGAGTTACTTTTTCTTTAATAAATAAATTTACAGTTTTTTTATAGAGAAGAAATCAACTGTTTTCTGTACGTATATAAATTCGATTGGATATTATTCAGTTTTATACTTATTCTTATCTTTGTAAACTTCACTGTGTACATTTTGAAACAATAAGGTAAATAGTTTATACTGACAGATCATCGAGTAGTAATCAACGTCATGTCTACCTGTCTAATGCCTATGTTGATCGA